AAATGAGGGTGTAAGTCCAGTGTCCTAGGACAAAAAATCCCTTGTGAACAGGATAAATGAGGGAGTGTTGATGGTGGCAATGGATGAAGGAGAGAATTGCCGATGACTTTAAAATAGTGTTCTGGTAACAGGACAATTGTCTTTTCTATTGGGAGCTGCTGTGCTCTGTTCTTTTATGCCAAATTGCAGTTAAGAATGGCTACTGTGAGTGAAACTCTCTTTTTCCCCATAGAAACAGCTCGTCCCAGAGCCAGGGGTGGAAAAGGTTGGTCCTCCCTGCTTCCAGAGCCTGTCCTGAGCAAGCGCTTCTCTCGCAGGGGTTGTGACGTGCTGTCGCAAGACGGAGTGTTGTGGGGCCTGCTGTAGTCTCTGTTCTCTTGCATTGACAGGGGGTTGGGGCTGGCTTGATTTTGTCTCTAGAGCCAGGATTGAGAAAAGCTTTAACGTCGTCTTTCGGTTCATCTCTTGACACACAGGAGGTTTTTTGGAGGTTTTTTGAAACCCTGGCTGATGGCTTATGCAAGATGTGACTCCAATGAAAGGAAGTAGCTGGTGACATTTAGTTACAGTGAGTTGAACCACTCTGGGGGAAGAGGTGGACATCAGAGAAATCACTGCTAATTCTGTTTGTCTCTTGTATTGTCGGTTTTGTTGGCTTTTCTGACTGCTTACTGCTTATTTCATCCTAAAGAGTTCTGCTACGTCTCTGCTCTGCTGCTTCTGTTTTGTGCCTTTGAGCATCTTCTTCTAGTACGGAACAGGATTTTGGCTTCTGCCCGACAGGGTTGTAGTGTCTGAGTGTGTGCGGCGGGGGGTGTGAACACATACACACGCACACTTGTTGATCCCATTCTCCTTTCATTTGGTGCTAAGCCACAGAATCTGAGGGACCGCTGCCGAGACAAGTACTAGAACTGGCTGCTCTGCTCTTTTTCCATGTCCTAACCTGGATGAGAGGTTGAGAGGGAAGAGAGCAGCATCTCGGGAGGGTAGCTGTGTCCACTGGCTCCCTCAAAGCCTTCTGTATGCCTGAGGACTCTTCAGTTGTCTTCACTGAATCCAGCTTAAAAGTGACTTGGCAAATGATTTTATACACAGATTTTATTCAGGATCTGGGTAGTGGATCCATCAGTTGTCTGCTGAGCAAATTTGTTATCCTTTTTTTTTTTTTTATGTCTAGTACCGATTTCTTATGTTAAGAAGTCTTTTTGACAAAAAAAGGAAAAAAAAAATTTGGAAAGAGATGTTCTGTTACTGCATCCTTACAAACAGGTGACAATTAGTAGAATTTAGTGGCTGTAATGGGAAGGAGGAGACTTGGCCCCAACCAGTTGAGGATCAAACGCTTCACCTGCATTTGTTTTAGAGCTTTAGCAATAAATATGAGGGTGAAAAGGAGCCAGTTCAGATTGTCAAACCTTCTGCAGTCTTTCACGTAGCTTGATACACTTGTGTTAGGAGCATTGGCTTATGGTAATGGTTTGAGAGAACTTCCCTGCAGGTCAAGGTGGGCAGTTGTGAAAAAGTTCAAAGCAGGGAAATTGTTTTTTTCTGAGCCCCCACATTGCTTGAGTGATGATACAAAACCCCTCTTCTAACATATGTTACTTTTCAGCTCTTCCTGAGCTATGGACACCATAAATGGCACTGGCTTTGGATAGATAATAGCACAAACTGTCAGTGTGATCTCATTCTGCACCTGCACATCAAAATCAAATCAAATGAGATTAAACCACTAAGCATTTTGTTTCCCTAATGCTGTGCAAAAACTAAGGAAACTTTTATCTACTCATCATGAGGCTGTACACCTGCGTACTACTCAGATATTTTTCTGAGGAAGTGCGGTTGAAGTGGCAGTCTTAAAAGCAAACAAAACCAACTTCTGCTTTGTCCCTTTGGTGAGGGTACCTTGACACATGTCCCTTCTCCTAATCCCCTGACGGCTTCCAAGAGACTGATGCAAATAACTGTGCCAGGCTTTGATTATGAGATATTGCGCTGCCACTTATTCTCTTTGTCTCCTGCAGTTTACAGAGGCAGCTTCAGTGCATAATTTAATCCCTGTTCTGGGGACGGTAGCAAATCCACAGAGATTTCTACCAACCGTCCTCTGTGGCATCAGAACAACATGTGCACATCTTCTTTGATGTGAATTCCCCAACCAGAGCCTTAGAAGGACCTGTAGCTTTGAAGCTGGCCTATAAATTGTGCTTTCAGGAATCAAGTTGTCAGCCTCTTCTTCAGGAAGAAAGGGAGAGTAAACTGTAAAGCAGTTGCATAAAGCTACAGGGTAACTTATAGATCTGGTTTTCTTGGCCTCAAAGAAGCCCTGTACAATGTTGAGAAAGAGACCGATCCCTTTTTACCTGGCCTAGATAGTCTTTTTGGACTGCAGGACCTTGTGGGCAGTGGGGCTGTGATGGAACTCATCTTGAGGGGTTCCCTATTCCAGGGCAAATGGAAGGGGAACAGGCACACTGGGGCTTTCCACCTCTTCAAATGTCTTCAGTCTCCCAAAGCCAAATGCTGATCATGCACCTGCATTGATTTGCAGTGGGGTTTAGAAACGGATGAAAATTGTTACCAGACACAATGGTTGTTCTGTGACAGATCTAACTTCCATCAGTTGTTTCCTGAGACACGTAGGAGTACGGGCAGACTGTACGGGCCTTTCTGTTGAGATGGAAATAAGCTGGTCTTTGAATTGAGGAATTTCAGTGGCCAAATCTTGTTTGAAAAGACAAATGCAGTTGCCGCCTTTATGATGCAGTGTGTGCTATCATCTCTGGGAGCTCCTTCTATGCCAATCTGAAAAAGCAAAGCTCTGCCTAGAGTCAGTCAAGACACCAACCTTTATTTTTCATGTGTTCTCTGTCTCCAGTAAGTGTGAGAGCTGAAACCATTCTACTATCCGTGCCACTACTGCTGATGCTTTTATATCAAATGTGGCTAAAACAGACTCCTGAATTAAACTATTTACTGCACAGTCTACCCTGAACTAAATCAGCCTTACTCAGTACAAATGGAGGCGCTTCTCAGGCCGCTTCATAGATGAATCTGCAAGTTCTTAATGTTTACAAATGTTACACAGACAGAGACAGGATTGTGTAGTACTCTTCCTATTTTGAGCAGGTGAGCCTTAGGGCAGCATCATGAATAAGTTGCACCAAACCTTATCAGATGTTCGCAATATTATGTGTCATGCTTTTGGGGAATGGAAGTGGGCTTGGGTTTTGGTTGGTTGTTTTTTTTTTTTTTCTGGTCAGAGCTAGAACAGTGTATTTTCAGTTTATTTTTTTTCTTTGTGCGGTCTATTTATTCATATTTGGAACTGATGGCCAAATCTGTTTTACAAGACAGGAGGCTGTAATCAATTCAGGGCAGAGCTTAGCGGTCAAAGCCCCTGATGGTGCTTGCCGTGGCAGCCTGTTCCATTGGCAGCGACCCACGCAGAGCCTGCCAGCTGGATCTGCTTCTCCTGGGCCTTTCTGGGGTGGTTGCACCGCAGAGAAAAGACCTCAGGTGAGCTTTTACCACGTGCGCCCTTCGAGGCTACCGGGACAGCAGCAGGGCTCTCTGCCTGGCAGGGTGGGTCTTGGCGACGGATTCTGTCCCCTTCTGACAGCGAGTCTGTGGAGATGCGACACTGACGAGCGCATCCAGACATCTGCAGGGATGGTGAGCAGCCACGGAAAGGAAGGTTGTGAGAGCAGCACTAGCTTCAGCACTGGGACAGGAAAGCAGAGAGGTTGGTGTCTATGCAGCATTTTGCAGCCTGCATCTTAATTTTGTAATTGCACTGAAGGCAATAAGCAGGCTAAAAGAATTTAACAGTGACGTGCTGGCTTAAGTGAAGCTTGAGTGTCTAAATAGGAAAAAAACTGGTATCAGTGTATGAGCAAAGTTAACCAGTTGATCTTTCAGGGAAGACCTCTGTCTCTCCCAAGAGATAGAACAGCTTTCCTAAGTCATGGTGAGGTTTTCTTTCTTCACACTGTGCAAGGAACTTTAATTTTTGTCTATTTATTAGAAGCTTGCGGTATTGGGAAAACACAAAAATCCCTACAAATCCAGTGCAAATCACTGACCGTTAGTGGCTGCTATAATGTTGGTGCTGAAACTGAATGACTTTTTGAAAAATTTTGTGTTAAATGCAAATACAGTAAACCAGATTAATCAAAATCTACACTCAGCTTTTATTTACAATCATATTACTTTTATTTTTTCCATAAGGTAACTTTTTCCAAGTCCTCCCCCAATAACTCATGCTGCAATGTTTACATTCAATAACCCTATACAATGATAGTACATACTGCTGCTTTCACCTAAGCCAACTGGCTTGCAAACATCTGCCCGTCATAAATTGTACACAGAAAGGGAAGATTCTCCACAAGCATCTGGAGTGTTTCCTGAAACTGTTGTGGCAGAATGGGGCTGTACTAGAGGTACAGGTCAGATGTTCTGTTCTCCCAGCAAGCAGAGGCAGTTGATCTGTCTGACATAATAAGAGGAAACAAAGTCTAAAAAGTTCTGATATTTTGCTAATTACTTGAATACAATCAACTATAAATTTGCAGAGGCATGGATGTGCTTAATTCTTGCTGGAAGGAGTTACTGGAACTCCTGACACTTTAAGTGTATTGACTTTACGTGAGAGGTACAACCTTTTTGTGATAATTGACTTAGACCTCCAAGTGATGCATGTATGGGGAGAAAAGGAAGAAGGGCTTGCATACTTAACTCTGTATTCTATATTTAAAAAAGCTAAACGATTTGTATATCCTTTTCATTATCAAAGTATATTTTCTCTTTCAAAGTAAACTGGTTTCTTCGGGAGGAGTTACTTTTAATAACAGCTCAGTACTATAACCAGGAGCCAGTAATTCAAAAAATCACTCTTTTCTGCTGAAAGGTACAAAGAACTACAGCTTATCTCCCTCATAAAGCCAAAGAAGGAAGTGGAGCCTTCTGCTGTATTATGTGTTTCTAAACCATCTTCTGCTACAGTGATTAATATTGTCACAAAAGTGAGTGATTTCTCCTCTTAGCCCTGTCAACACTAGCATCTACAGACAAAAATCATTGTTTAAAGCTCTAGACATCACAGAATAGTGCTGCTATTGGTATTTCACAACTAATGCAACATCCAGTAATTCACATGTAATCTTAATAGTTAAAAATTCAAGACTGGGGTACTAACTAAAGAAACCAACTAACATGAAGTTGCCTTATCTGGCATGGAACAAGGGGAGGGATAGTTTAGATAACATTCTAGAGATTGGGCAAGAACAAAAAGAATTTATTTTTCCATCCAGAATTTTATACACTTTACAAAAACCAGTAATACCACTGTGCCCATAAAAATGTTATCCATAGCAACAGAAAGCAAATACTACTTTTTGTCATCTAACGGGGTCTTTTTAAAATCATAATACAAAGATTTGTGCTGTAGCAGTCCTCCACTTTGCACGGTAACAATAAGGCTTACTGTACTTTAAATACAAAGGTGTTACATCTGCAGTTATGAACCACTGGCTTTAACAAACATCATTTTATAGTTGTTTTTTGCCTCTTTCTTGTTTTCTGGAACCTCAGCTTCATCGTGTTTTTCAGCAGCTTGTAGCTCCTCTGCAGACTCCTCTTGCTCTGACTCAGAGCCACTTTCAGAGTCCTCTGAACTCTCTTCAGAGGAGTGTCCAGCAATGTCGTCTTGGTCTTCACTTTCCTGAAACTACAAGTTCAGATTATGAGACAGATTAAACCATTATTTCCTGGTAACTCTGTTGCAGCTTTTAAAATTTCTCAGTGAGGATGTTTCACTTAACAGCTCCTTTCATTTTAGTACTAAACTGGGCAATGTTGCTAAATACAGGTCTTTAATATACACATTATTAGACAGGAAGCAACTCCACTGAAGTGGTTAACCGTACCAACTGTGACATACGTGGTTCTTATTTAGTTACAGCAGAAATTCTAAAGACACCATTAAATGAGTTTAAAAACTTTCAGATCACATCAGTGTAATAATTTCTTACTCTGGTGTACAGCGCACATAAAGACACCTGAGTATTTGCCATGGAGTGAAACATAATGAAACTAACAGCTAGAACACCAGGAATTCACATTCATGACTGATCTTTGAAAATAAGTTTAGCGCAGCACAGCATGAGGAACACTGAAGTAATCCAATGATACCACTAACAACCACCCCAAAATAGCACTTTGCTCATGGTCCTAAAGAGCAAAGCCTCCATGGCTGCAATATTAAGAATTTCCAGGTCCGCACAAGTGGTTTTACTCGCTCTGGAAACATCAGCTATGTTTTTATGCAGTAATTGGTGCTAAAGGTAGCACAAAACTAATTATTGCACCTTTCAATTGACAGATGAAGACATGTTCCTAATAACCTAATTCTCTGGGGTTTTGTCACACTTCTCTCCCTGCTCATCCCTATGGAATTCCTTGTGAGTACAAGACGAGTCAGGTGCCAGCTCACTGGAGGGGACCCCATGCAGCAAATTTCCCTTGTCTCAGCTCTCTATAGCCACTTACTTTTCAGGACCACAGAGAGGTATGTGCCTTACTGCAACAAGAAGTTACGATTGATTAGCTCTCAGCAACAATGCAGACGATTATCTTGCCTTCTTAGGTATTCCTTGGCAACATCCTGATTTAATGTAATTGTTACTTTCTGTCCTAATCAGTCTTGACTGCTATGGAGCATTAAGTATGTCATATCACTTTTCAGACCAATGAGAAAAATCAATCACTTCCAGGCATCTAAACAGCCCCCACAGCGTACACAAAGAGAAGTCAAGCGCCTGCAGTAAGTCTGTTCTTTAACCCAAACTGCGGAAGTTTGCCACTAGTTGTAGTAATTGGATTTTTAAACTGTGTATCGCCTTGGCTTAGTGAAGTGAAAGCCAAATCATTATAGAAATAAACAACTTACTACCTCACTGAAACCAAGTCCGCAATGGCGCCGGTTGCGTCCAGACATCGTGCTGTCCATGCTTTGTTGGTACTGAGACTCCAATTCTTCGTTCATTTTCTTGTCTTCTTCCCCTGCATTGTCCAGTGTACTTTGGTTATGGTTCATTCAAATTAACAAAGACATCAAATTACATGAAGTCACATTTTCAAAGTTTATCAATATATATGCGAAAAAATTTAAATTTACCCATCTTAAACTACCAGATTGAGTATTACTGCATACAAAGCAATCTTATCAAGTGTGCAAGCAAAACTGCTTTGATACAAAGATGGGCTGGTGAGTTCTTAAGACCTGATGCGTTCGGAGAGTTGTACTATACGCGGTGCATGTTCTGCTAAACACGGGAAATGTAACGAGTACGACTTCTCTGTGCTTCCTGCCAATACTGCAACATGTCACAGCAAGGAGAAAGTTTCTGGCCTTCATAACATGTGATTCCTATGATTAAACCAGGATTAATATATAGCAGCAGAAGTCAGGACAATACTACCGCTCTTGTTTGTAGAGCTGTATCTGAAACTATTACATGCATCCTGATGAATGATCAGGAGCAGTTACTACAGCTCTACATTTTTCCATCTTGAGGAATTAGCAGAAAAGCTAATTGTCATGAGCTACTTCTACGTGCCCTTTACTTACTTGTTTGACTAAGTAAATAATCACTTTTACTGAGGGAAAATATAGTCTACTTAAGAATCCTCTGTTCTTGTAAAAGGTAGGAATCTCTAATTCTGCCCTGACAGGCCTACAACACTCTAGTTTTTAATTTGCATCTCTGTCGAATTAAAACCTTGTACTGCAAATTAAAGTTTCCTTATCTGGAAGTTAGAGCTGTAAGTTATTGTAAAAGGACAATAACTGTATGTTGCACAAGGAATTATTCTTCCGATTTTTTTGTGAAAAAACAGCATCATAACTTTTTGCTAATAACAAAGCATTACTGATTCTTTATGACTCCTTTGGGGAAGCATCATCTCCTTTCTAGGAAATTCAGATTTAAGGAAGTGATTCTCAGTCACTCTGCAAGATACCAGCAGAACCTGGAACGAATCCTCAGGCTTCTTTTGGTGTTTTGGTCCATAGATAATTTTTCATCAACTGAAAAATTACTACTGGAGCCTATCGGAGAAAGAAGTTTTCTGGAACTCTGACAGTTGCTGTTCTAGACAGGTTTGTCAAAGCTTCTCTCAAATAGTCAAGCCCAGCTTGGTTTTGATGTACTTTGACTTACTACCTGAGCAAGCCTGATAAGAAGTTACCATGGTCATACATTACATGACTTCAAATTACTGCCAATTGCCAATGTGACCTTGCAGATCTTTTCAGCTTCTGCCCCATTGCTTTAAGGCAGAGATCTTTCAACAGGTAATTGGGTGGGGGGAGAAATCAACTCTGCTCCTTTCCACGCACAATGATTTAGAGGTTTGGATATCCCTACCTGGCAGCAAGGAAGAAGTATAATACTGCTAGGTACCAATAGCACTAAAACTTTACTTTCTTATTTTGATAGCAAAATAAGACTGAGAACCTATATGTCCTGATTTCCAGGGCATTTGTACACAAGTGTAACTGACCATCAAGTACTTTGCTGAACTTGGACTTCTGAAGGCAAGTACGTGCAGTCAGAGAAACTGTCAATAATCTAACTAGAGAAATTAGCAACTTCTACAACTCCGTAGCCTGACCTGTCTCCAATTTCAGCCACGAAATCTGAAATCCCTCCCTGCAACATCTAGGAAGCTCAAAGTACTGGGATGTTCCTAAATAAGTTTTCGATTTCCAACTTTGTATCAGCTGTTGGATAAACTGACCTGTCCTGAAGTGAGAGGTTGATCTGTGGTCTCCGATAACAAGGCGGCCAGTATGTTCTTTCTAAAAGAAAAGGCAGTTTGTTTTGGAGCTTTAGGGTGCACTGACAGCTCTGCCAACATTCTGGAAATCTCAAATGGAAAAGGTTTGCTGTCAAACCTTGGCAACCAACTGTAAAACTGTACATTTCACTAGCTAACACCTGCTGCCTATTGACAAACTTGTTTCATCTTTGTTTCATTGAATTTTCTGAAAAAGATACCCCAACAACTACTCTTTGCTCTTCCCACACCCCAAAGCTGGTTCTATTTCATTCCGGTTTTTGCCACTCCAAAGATGAAGACAAACCATGTCAGCTAAACAAGGAGGAATGGTGATCATCTGATAAGAAAACTACACTATACAATAAACTACAATGCTGGACAAGCGTGAATTTAGGTTCTGACAATTTACTCTTCGGGTCTCTTTCTCTGGCACTATACAATAGTTCAGTCTGTGCATCTTATGATGATCCCACTTCTAAACTGGTCACAGTATCAGGTAAGGCCTTCACAGTGCTCATTAATTTCTTGGCTCAGTAGTTGCTCATTAACATATGTATCCCTATAGGCAAGAACTGGCATTACATAGAAAGCAGCATTAAATATCCCAGTAGACATTAAGATTAGTGGTAGTGGGATGTTTTAATAGGTTGTTGTATTTCTATCCACTACGAAATATGAAATTTCACCTCTTTAATACAGTAAAATATTTTATCTTACAAAAATACTGTATTTGAGCAAAAAAAGCTAGTACAAGTGAAATTCGTTTTCTTGAAGGTAAGTTAAGTAGAATTGCAATACTAAAACATTTTGTACATGGAAAAAGCAGGATTATATTTTACAAGTTTTGCAGCATTTTTTCCAAAAAAAGCATAGTAGAAATACTGCTTTAGAGCATTTTCTCTTTAAAAATAGTTCCTGGATTATTTAATTAGGTGTAGGTCTGTCAGCTAATTTTTAATTTATTTTTTTTTTGTTCTAATGAGAGGGACTGTTGCAGACCTGGTGCACAGGTTTGTTATTTTGTAACAAGGCCTCTCTCTGAAGTGTCTACAAATAACTTTATTAGCTGGTCTGAAAGTATAAAGCTGTGGGGTGGGGAGGAAGTTGCAGAGCAGAGACTTGACAATTTCAGACCGATGCTTTGCGTTACACTGCCGCTGACATCACTGCTCTGTCTGTGAAACCCAAATCCTCCTTAAGGGACAGTCCCAAAGCAAAATTGTCTTGTTCCTCAGGGAGCACCGCGGCCTGCAGCAACCCCCCCGGGGGACCGCTTCGTTGCATCGCAAATAGAAACCCCCTCGCAGCCGCTCCCCGGGGGGAGATTCC